TGCAGGATTCCAGGACTGTGTTGTTTCCCTTGGATTATCTGCAGGTCTCCTGATGCATGGAAATTTAAGTAACATTCATCTCTTTTACCTGGAGAAATCTGTCTGCAAGAACTGCCTCCCTGTATTTCTAACCCCAAATGAGGTAAAAGACAGACCCCCACCTGTCAAAAACACCTCTTTCTTTGCCATGCCATTAAGTATGGGTTGCCATGTTCTTACCAAGCTCATTTTGCTGCCGAAATTTTCCTAAATGACCATGAACACGAGGCAATGATAATCTTGGGTTCCCGATGTAGAATAAAGTAACAATAAAAGCAAATAAATCAAGCAGTAGGATTCAGAATGATCTTTGAGAGGCAGAAAAAGTAATAAGAATGAAACTGAGTGCACTGGAATATAATAAACACAAGGCGCGTCCAGATGAGCACACATGTACACTTTGCAGGTTCTCAAATGCTTTTGAGGCAGTGCAAAATGCACATGGCACATATGAAAGAGTTCTCTGCTCTGTATATTTGCAGCACAGAAGAAAATCTAGATACTGAGAACTCCCAATATCTAAAAAAAAAGGCTGCAAAGAAAAGCAGTGTGGTGCACATGGCTGCAGTGTGTGCTGCCCGAAACAAAGCCTGGCCAGCCAGAGCCACGCTCCAGTTGCTGGCCAGGCTCGACATGCCCAGATTGCCGCTGCTGCAACCCTGGGAAGCCCCCAGGACTGCAGGTAAGGCTGCTGGGGCTAGTCCAGGTACTGGCCACAGCCTCCCCTACCCTACCCGAGGCAACCTGCCATGTGCCAGAGCATGCATGCAGGGGCATTCCTCAGGGACAAGTAACAGCAGCACAACTACAGTGCCACTGTATTTGGCCCCAGGGAAATGCACGGGAGTGCTTGTGTGGATGTGCTTATAAAGGGTAATATTCAGCCATGAGGTTACATGGAGTAACATAAGGACTGAACGCAGCTCAGAACTCTCCTGAATCCAACCTACCTGTCTAGCACACACATCTGCATGCAGTCTGCAGAGTCCTGAATGGGAAATACTTTTACTGTTCACATGTGAATACATGTCTACAGACTACTCTTTATATGTATGTGACTTTGGACTTCTAAACTTTACTGGAACTTATTGAGCTTGGTTCTCCACTCGATTACATCAAGTTTACTTGTGAAGTGTCCTGTGATGAGTCAAGGGAGGATCAATGCACACCCCCAGCAGGGTAGCATATGTCATATCATCAAAGGAGATGTTATAACACACTGAATTCAGATGGGTAAGGAAAGGAAAGGAGAATTCAGTTCAGTGAAGCCTGCCAGATCTCCAGGGATACTGCCAAATTCTCTTTCGGACAGCTGAAGGTTCATGTTCCCTGTAAGAGACAAGCATCTATGTTTCACTGTGAAGCAGCCGCTACTCTTGCTTCTGCACGGCCCTGTATGCAAGATACAATTACAAAGCACACTGAAAGATAGAGATTTAGAAAAACACGCAGCGAACTCTGACGGAGAAACAGAAGGTCACACTTGATAAAAACAAGAAACAAATAACTGAGCTCTGTGTTCAGTCACGTAATTGGGAATGATTTCCTGTAACAGATAATGGCTGGAAACCCTGCAGGATCAGATCTAGTCACAAAGATCAAAAATGGTTATTTTAGTAGTTAGGGCTTGGTAAATAGTACATGATGCTCTCATGGGATTTAGGTGTAACCCTGTAATTCAAGGAAAAACTGGTCAACAAAACTAACAAATATGGCACATTTTAGGAGCTGAAAAGAATGTATATTGAAGTGACCACCCATCTACAGATGGAATGGGAAGGTCACCATGCAATTGTTGAGAGGGGCATTTATACCAATGAGGGGGGGATCTGATATACAAATACTCTGTTTTACTTGTTCTCTTTGCAATGTCCCACTAAGAAATTTATTCATAAGCAGAACGGGGGGATAATTAATTTTTTTTTCAGTTTGCTGGCCCAACTGAAAAAAAATATTCATTTTTGGTCAATCTGGAAAGTTTCTTTTAGCATTAAATGAAATCTTTTGCTTTCAGGCTACTTAATCCTCCTTTTTATGTCCTGTCCTTAAAATATTAGGCCAATTTCAAAATGAGAATGTTTTAGGGTGAAAAGTTAAAACAGTTTAAGCAAAATGAAGCATTTGGATCTTTTCCCAAAATATTTCCAATTTTTTTCAGCCAAAGCTATTTTTCAAGTTCTACCTATTTTTGCAAGATAGATTTTTTTGCTGAATTTAATATTCAGTGGAAACAGATTACAACTCAGTTCCTGATTTCCCTGAAACCTTCCCCTTTTTCTGCTTTCTTATCTCTAAGTCCCAAGTAAGAAAAATATCAGAATCCTAACTTAAAAGGGCTAGACAGTAATCATCATTATCACCACCAGTACCACCAATCATCCAGCTGCATGTGTTTATATGCTGTAACAGTTGGATTTGTATAAGCTTATATATCCATGTATATATACAACTGCTTTCTGATGGATGGAAATCATCATTTTCAAATGTGTATCATGAGCCCCAAACTGCTGAAAGCTGATGGAAATTCTCTTCTAGCTCAAGTTGGTGCTTTGAGAAGATCTAATTTTTGTCTCCACCATCTGCCTGTTTTACTGTATAAGAAAGTGCTTTAAAAAGAGTCATCTGTATAAAATGTTACACGGTCACCCTTCCTGGCGCTACACAATCACTCATGTACTTAGAAGAAACCAAAGTCCAAGACAAAATGCAACAACACTTACAAAGAGCAGGAGGCACTTGTTCTCACGAATGGCCCCACAGCAGCCAAGAAAGCCCAGCAGGAAGAGCATCGCTCCCATTGCCAGCATGATGTATGCTCCCGTGAAGAGCAGAGGGTTGGCAGCCACGATCTCTCGAAATCCTGTTGGATCCACAATAACCCAGATCCCAACTCCTAGAAGGCAGGCCCCTCCCAGCTACCACAAAGAAGGAGAGAACAGGACATGAAAGAGTTAAAAAAAACTGCTGTCAGAGGGGATTTGTCAGATGATTCTGATCCAAGAAGTCCCCTTGGTCTGCACTTGCTGCTTCATGGCAAATGCTCTCTGCAAAGCAGGCAACTCTGTTCACTAATTGTGCAGTTTCAACAGCTTTCTCCCCTTGTTTTTTCATTATTAGGAACATTTATAACAAAAGCCATGTTTTGTTTCTCAACTGTTCACCTTTTCCAACTGTTTATTCCTTCCCTAATGCTGTAAGACCATGTCCTCAGCCCCGCGTGCTGCCTGAATCACTAGAGCTACTTGAGACAGTCCAGTTGAGGGAGGTAAAGGAATCTTCCCCTATAGCCCCTGTGCTGGCCCTATGGGGGAAACAATAGCCTGTGGTTTCACCTGCCCCGCCTTTCAAAAGACCCCGTCAAACTGATCCTGCAGAGAAAAGCCACGTTTATTAGACATATCATAACAGGGGAGACAGGAGTAGAAACTTGCTTCTTAAACAATACAAGGCTGGCCTCTTTTGCTTCCCACAGTAGTAACCTGCTCTGCAGGCTTCGTTTGCTGAAGAGAGACATCACTCAGAAAGACAGCAAGCACCACGCTGCCTTGTTGAATGCTTCAGCACCTTTGGACCAAAGGCGCTGGGCACATTCAGTCACTGTAGTGATGAAGCTAAAGGGATCCTCTGCATCATGGGAACTTTACCAGAGCACATCAGGGCCTGTCAGTGCATCAGGTGGGAGTGTGAGGGAGCAGGAGACTGATAGAGAACAAGAGAGAGAGCACGAGAGGGTTCCAAGTACTTACAAATATGAAGAAATTGAAAAGAAACATCAGATACTTCATGCAGCTCAGACAATCCCCCTCCATGGTCTCCAGGCTGTTTGACCCAATTATTCCTGCAAAACACGAATGCTTCCTTAGTACATTTGCTGTTTCCAGTGTGGCACAGGCCTATTTCCCATCATATGCCCCATAGACGTGTGGAATTCACTACACTAATGGGTTTGTTTCTTACCTGAACTTAGTAACATAATATAGGCTAATAGACGTTAATAATCACTGCTAATTCCCACTGTGTTTGTCCTGCGTGGATCAGGATAGAGGGTGGAAGGTGAAGCTGTAGAAGACTGAAGCACCCACTTTGCTCATAAGCCTGAACACCCCAAATCATTGTTGTGCAGACAAATCTTCAGTTTTTTCCCCCCCACTGATACAAGGGGCACTGGGCAGATGTGACTACCCAAAGTAAGAATCATGCACTACTGGGCAAATCCTGCAACAGCCCTTGGCAGGAGTGCAGTACCATAGCTCCGCTGCACTGTAAGGAGTGCAGTCAAGTGGAGTAGATGGGATCTGGTGCCATGTCAAAGGGTTTGCAATGGCTGAATATTGTGGAGCCCAGTCTGTATTAGGCTTCTCCCACAGACGAGGAGCAACAAGGACAAGGATAGGTTCAGGGTAGCTTTTAGAAGCTGAGAGCAGAAGTGGGTGGGTGGCTGCGGGATAAATCTTCAGCTAAAATAAACGTATACAGCATCACTAAAATCTTGGTGCCTTAGAGCTACTGTAGGCAGAGACCCTGGATAAACCATGCCAGGATTTGTCCCCAAGAGAAATTGTAAAGGAACCTGAATTGGCTCAGTGACTTAACATGGCTGAATTAGATGGCAAGCCCCTTAGATCTAATTCTTAGACCTGAGACCCTGCTCCTGCCTTTGTTCGAGGTAATTTGCATTATCACAGAGATACCTCACTACATAAGAAATTCCTGCCCAGAAGAGCATTCCGTCTTTTTACTCTTCTGTGAAATATGAAACATCACAACCATAAGGAAATATAACTCTACATCCTGCTTGCCATCAAACAACTTTGAGGTAAACAGACTATTCCAACTTTTCTCTGAGCCTAACCTGCATAAAACGAATGGTTCCAAACAGGAGATTTTACCACACCTTCAACTCTCCTATGAAATATGAACTTTCATTTCTACCTAGGAGAACTTTTACAATCTTTTCTCCTATGCCTGAAGGGTTTTTATGCCCAACAGCTTGCAAATAGCGATTTTTTTTGCAAAAATCTAGTTGGTCTAATAAAAGGTAGCACCTCTACCATGACTTCTGATTCCTTTTGCCTCTAGACCAGGGGCTTTCAAGCTTTTTTAACAAGTGTACCCCTTCTGTCTTAAAGTTTCAGCTCATGTAACCCTTTACATTAAAATTATGTAGGGGAGCTAATCACGCATGTGCATGCATATGCACACCCCCCAGCAGTGGGGGGGGTCAGATAGAGGCCCCCACAGTGAGGGAGGGAGGGAGTGGAGCACAGACAGGAGCAGGGGCTGGGGTGAATGGGGCCCCAGCCAGGCTGGGTCATGGAACAATCAGAGCCTGGGCAGCTAGTCCAGGGGTGTGGTGGGCTCCTGCCACTGTGTGTAGCCCAGCAGAGGCCCGGCGGGGGGGGAATGTGCCCCCTGATCTGTGCATGGGGTGGAGGCAGCTGCTGCTGCAAGCTGGGCTTTGCACACCGCTGCAGCTGCTCTGGTGTGACTCCACGTGCATCCCGCTGCCGGGTGGGCAGGGGGCATGGCACAGCCCAGCGGCTGCAGGCACATGGTGTTGCACCATTCCTGGGGCAGCTGCAGCACTGTGCAAAGCCCAGCGCACAGCAGCAGGGGGAGCACAGCAGCCTCTGCCCCACGCACAGATCAGAGGAGGGGCACATGCCCCCTGGGCCTCCACCAGCGTCCCTCCCATCTGTACCCCTTACAACCTTTCTAAGTACCCTTAGGGGTACGTGTACCCCTGGTTGACAACCACTGCTCTAGACCAATGCAGCTACAACCTTGATACCTGAGCTCCTTAGATCAGCATTTATGACACTGAAAGCACCAAGGAAACATCTATCAGAGCTCCTTTGATGTAAGCGATTTTAGAAAAAGAGAGACCAGGCTCTGCCCCAACCACTTACAGTCTAATAAGTGACTGTGTATCCTCATAGGAAGAGACCTCAGCCGTCACATCAATACCACAGAACAACAACAATAACCAAGCTCCTACGGAGGCCAAAGCTGTTTCAGTTTCTGCAGCTTGCACAGGTGAATATACACACAGGCGTGCATACAATTTTGCTTTGCTCCCCGGAGAACGCTCCTGACTGGAATGAAACCTGTATGCTCTTTACCCCTCCCCTTCCCCAAATAAAGCTGCATCCAATTACATGCTGAGTTAGAAAAATACACTTGATCCTGCTGAAAGAAAGAAGTCGCAAATTATTCAAGGTTTTGAGGAACATTTTTCTCAGGCCTGGCAATAAATCCTTCCCTTTCACTCCCTCATTGTTTTTACTAATCCACAAAACTTGGGGCTGCTGTACAGCTTTGCCATGGTCCTTCCTTCTGTGACCATGGTAACTGATCTGCTTTAGCAAAGCTGCTCCTAGAAACCCTTGGCAGACAACTCTCCCAGCAAGGGGCTGCCGCAGGTAAACAGCAGCATTCACACAGTGTTTTTGTTTGCTGTGCAGTCTTTGACTCATTTGAAAATTAAATCAGTCCCTTCCTCTCTGTAGGCACAGAACCAGGAGTTCTGAAGTGGAGAGGTGTTCACGAGGGCACATGTTCATGCCTGAGAAACACACGCAGGTGCACATTCAGTATTTTTTCCCTATGTTGAGAGCAGGGTGGCAGAATGCCACTATAATGGCTCTGCAATGCCTGGGATATTCCTTTCCCCTAAGGAGATCCTTAGAAGACCAGACAAGCCAATTTTACAGTGTTCCCTACACCCAGAGTATGTGACAGGAGGGTTCAAACATATCTGTCTTGGGGGATCATTTGATCCCCACTCCATGGGTGACTGGTGCCACCTTAGTTGGGGGGGGAGGGGAACGTGCCCCCCCAGCGACCAGTCAGTAACCAGGGGTGGGGGGGCATGGCCAATCCTACCAACTGGGGGAGGGCCCCCCTGCAGCTGATGGCGAGATGGCCGATTGCTGCGGCTGCTTCTGGGAGTGCCACAGTGCTCCACTCCCTGACCAGCGCTTGCAGGGGGGCACCGGTGCTCCTGCCTGCCCCCCAGCCCATCGCCTAAGCAGTGAGCGCAGCCGGTCAGGGGTCAGCACTGACACTCTCAGGGGGTCCACGTGTACCCCTGTGCACCCCCTATGCGTCAACACTGGAGGTCTCAGAGAGGAGGTTCAAGACTCTTGAGGGGATACCAGGGTGGAAACAGTTTATAGTGACGTGTAGGAGGGATGGAAGCTGAGGGAATTCTTACATTCTTAGGAGGGAAGGTGAACTTCCACATCCCTTAAATCACATGGTCTTGATTTGAGTGCCAAGGGCCATATAAGAGGGATGTAGTACCCAATTACAAGACATAATTGCTTCAGCAGCCTCCAGAATAAGTGATGCCTTCAAAGACAGGTCAGAACAAAGCCATGGCACAAGTTATGGTGGCACATCCCCACATCATCCACATCCTGAAGGCCATTAGAGAATTCTGTAATAGCCTGCAAGTTTGGATGCTTAACCAGATGTATCTGTAGCACAATGATCCTAAGGGGAGAAAAAAGGGAGATAAAGGCAACTAAGCCTAGCCATACCATATTCCTTTGCTTTGCCCACATCAGTGCCACAGAAGCATCCACAAGATAAATATGGGCTGCCTGCCAAAAAACAGAAACAGGAGCCAAGGCTTCCTGTTTCAGTTCTAACGACAATCTACTATGTACACTTGGGTTAGCTACTACAACTCCTGGGCTCACATTTTTCATCTATATGTATCTGCTACCTCTGAAGACTGGACTTCATTGGAGTGATCACAACTTACACCAATTGAGGATCTGGCATAATTTCCTTTTGAAACCTAAACTAAAAAGTCTATAACCTACACCCACCCCGTATGTTCATTCAAAACATTTTCTTGCTATGAACACACCTGGCTGAATCCATCTAATGAGTTCTCAAGATTTGAATACATCACTGTGAAGGCTGGCTGCACTATGCGATCAGATTTGGGGATTGCCTAGAGAAGCAAAAATGTTCAGTGACTGAGCCCTGATAGGTAGATATTTTTCAGTTTGCCTAGGACAGCAAGGCCCCTAAGAGGTGGTGCCAACTCTGGGCTCTAAACTAACTTCTGGAAGTTCTCAGATCTACCACACTTTGTAGAACACAAAATTAGAAGCAAAACTAAGCCAACTCTGCATCACTGCAAGATGGGAACAAAAACTGCATGATTTAAAAATGTAAAGAGTCTTTCAACTCGTAATGTTCAGATGTATGTGAGTCAGAGGCAATAGTGCAAGGTCTCTGATGGTGCAGTCAAGAATAGAGTACATCAGAGACTATCTGTCAGAACAGATCAAAGCAATCATTCAGCACCCCCAACCCACTGAATGGATTTGAAAATGTGTCAGCTCTGGGTTAAGGCTGGCATCCTAAAAACAATCAGGTTACAGGGATCCCAGAACTGTAACACAATGAGACCTTTTAAAACTCTGTTATAGAAGGACAAAATCAGAAAACAGACACAAATACAGCTTACCATTAAAAACACCACACCACGTTCACTAGAATACATTCATTAGATACAAGTCAGTAATGAATCTGGCTTTATCGGCCACTAAAGCTGTATTTATGACAGTCTGGTTAAAGCTTTCATGGAGCAAAACCCAGGACAGAGTCCTAGGTACTCCACAGATCTCTAGAACTGAAAGCCGTTCACACCACTTCTGGTTCTGGTTAGTTTAGCCATCACAATGCAGCATTTTCCACAGCTACCCACCAAACCAGAAAGAGCATAGCTGTAGTCATGTGACCACAGCCAAGCTAATTAGCCCTGCCTCTCAGCAGAGCAAATTAATTTAGCCTCCTTCATGCAATACTGAGAGGCGGTGATAATTTGCTGGTCTGGATACTGTGTTGTGTGAACGTGACTATATTGCTTCTGGTTCAGGAGGTGGCAGCAGCCTCCCAAATCGAGAAACAGGATTGCTCAGGTGTTAATAGTCTTTTCTGATTCAAGGTACCCCATACTAGACAGAAGACAGCCCCGGAAAATGCCAGATCATAATTTTCAGTCATTTTTTTTACTACAGAAAAATACTAAATCAATTCTTCTGTTTCAGGGAACTCAGAAAGACCGTAACAGGTCAGAATGTTTTTAAAACCATGGATTCATATTTGATAGCTCTGGCTTTATCTTGTGAATGTTTGCCCAGCTAACAGTTCTAACACTGTGTGGCAACCTATGGCTCCCTTGAAAGGACCTCAAGGCACCCCAGAGTGCCACAGCTCCCTGGTTGAGAGCCACACATGTAGCTGCATTCTCAGTGGCAGGCAGGCACTGCTGTGCTGCCTCCTCTCAGGAGACACAGCACAACCAGGGGTGGGTTTACCACTTGGGGAAGCCAGACAGGGGTTCTTACTCTTTGTTACACAATATTACCAAGAAAAGCTTTGAAATCAAGGCCAGGTACAGGCATTACATTCTTACCAGTAAAAGTGATCGGAAACCAGTCTATACCCATAAAAGAAAATAAGTTTTGTACATGTAGACAGTTTAAAAGTGGTGGAACCCAGTCTAAGATTCCCTTCCCCCCCCCCAAAAAGGGTGAATGTGTATTCTGTTCGCTACAGAGATAAAATACGATTCTGCCTCAGACTTTTAGATTGATTCTGCCTTGGACTTTTTGAATATCTGTACCTAGTCCAAGAGCTGCTAGCTAGTTTCATGGCTGCTAATGCAAAGGGGACACTTGCAATTGCAAGTCTGAACTGTCCTAAGGTCAGTCCTGAGCAGAAAAATGTTTGACACTGACTTGAGACCAAAACAGAACAAAAGGCCCATTGTAGAGTCCTTAGGGATCCTGGGACACAGCCCTGAAATTTGGAGCTATTCTCGAAAATATGGACTGGCTAGTCACATTATAAGGTGCCCAAACGTGTCAGTGTGTACAACCATCCATTTTTATCCAAGGTTACAATGTTGTGATTTCTGCAGTATTGGGCTGTACTTTGATTAGAAAATAACTGGAAGGTGTCAAATCATGCCACATGGTGACTGCTGTCTTTTTCATGTTAACTACCAGATATTGACTGAAGCTGAGCTTTTGAGTAGAAAATGACTTTCAGTAACCATACACATAGAACCATGAATTATGTGCACGTCGTCCAAATGAGATCCTCATCGTGTGTTTTACTGCACCCTTTAGAAAAGTCTCATTCCCTTAATTCAGTAAACATTCAGATATGCACATATACATATGCACATATATACATACAGAACATACAGAGCCAGAAGAAAAGCAAGGGCAACATTGGACCCCTGCTAAACCAGGTGGGACAACTGACACCCAGGAAAAAGCCAACCCATTAAATGGGTACTTTGTGTCTGTCTTTCATCAGTCCCATGGGACGCCCATGTCTGCTATGGGACAGGGAGGTCCAGGTGAGGGAGATCCCCTGCCCTCCATTAATGCTGACCTTGTGAAGGAACACCTTGAGAGGCTGGATACCTTCAAGTCAGCCGGCCCTGACAATCTACACCCCAGGGTACTCAAGGAGCTGGCGAGCATCATAGCCCAGCCCCTGGCACGGATCTTCGAGGACTCCTGGTGCTCTGGTGTAGTGCCCAAGACTGAAAGAAGGCCAATGTGGTCCCTATCTTCAAGAAAGGGAGGAAAGTGGATCCGGCAAACTATAGGCCCTCATCCTGACCTCTATCCCTGGGAAGGTCTTAGAAACGTTTATTAAAGAGGCCATCCTTAATGGACTGGTC